GGAATGGGGAGGATGGTAGATAATTCCTCTTCTCAAATAGAATGGTTGATCAGTGGAATGCGTTAAAGGAGAAATTTGTAAGTACAGCAACCAATGGAAATCTTATAAAGATTTCACGAGGAACAGAGTATTCAAAAGGTGACAAACTGAGCATTTCTTTCCTCCAGTAGTACAACTGTAGGCGATATTACATACACAAACACACACACACACACACAATAGCCTAGAAAGTGATGTGGTGGAGGCAGGAACCATACATAGTTTTAAGGCGAGGTATGATAGAGCTCATGGGGCAGGGAGAGAGAGGACCTAGTAGCAATCAGCGAAGAGGCGGGGCCAGGAGCTGTGACTCGACCCCTGCAACCACAAATAGGTGAGTACAAATAGGTGAGTACACACACACACACACACACACACACACACACACACACACACACACACACACACACACACACACACACACACACACACACACACACACACACACACACACACACACACACACACACACACGCATGCACATACAACAGGCCTAGTGTCTAATCGACATGTGCCTAGGACCAAATGGTAACTAACTAACTAACACACACACACACACAGGACAGGAGGGTCAGGGGAGACATGATAACGACATACAAAATACTGCGTGGAATAGACAAGGTGGACAGAGACAGGATGTTCCAGAGATGGGACACAGAAACAAGGGGTCACAATTGGAAGCTGAATTCTCAGATGAGTCAAAGGGATGTTAGGAAGTATTTCTTCAGTCATAGAGTAGTTAGGAAGTGGAATAGTCTGGCAAGCGATGTAGTGGAGGCAGGAACTATACATAGTTTTAAGGCGAGGTATGATAAAGCTCATGGAGCAGGGGGAGAGAGGCGGGGCCAGGAGCTGAGTCTCGACCCCTGCAACCACAATTATGTGAGTACAATTAGGTGAGTACACACACACACATACACACACAGATGAGAAGAATTCATTCGATCGAAGACCAGGCAGAACTACAAAGGGATCTGGACAGGCTGCAGACCTGGTCCAGCAATTGGCTCCTGGAGTTCAATCCCACCAAGTGCAAAGTCATGAAGATTGGGGAAGGGCAAAGAAGGCCGCAGACGGAGTACAGTCTAGGGGGTCAGAGACTACAAACCTCACTCAAGGAAAAAGATCTTGGGGTGAGTATAACACCAGGCACATCTCCTGAAGCGCACATCAACCAAATAACTGCTGCAGCATATGGGTGCCTAGCAAACCTCAGAACAGCATTCCGACATCTTAATAAGGAATCATTCAGGACCCTGTACACCGTGTACGTTAGGCCCATATTGGAGTATGTGGCACCAGTTTGGAACCCACACCTAGCCAAGCACGTGAAGAAACTAGAGAAAGTGCAAAGGTTTGCAACAAGACTAGTCCCAGAGCTAAGAGGTATGTCCTACGAGGAGAGGTTAAGGGAAATCATCCTGACGACACTGAAGGACAGGAGAGATAGGGGGGACATAATAACAACATACAAAATACTGAGAGGAATTGACAAGGTGAACAAAGACAGGATGTTCCAGAGATTGGACACAGCAACAAGGGGACACAGTTTGAAGTAGAAGACACAGATGAATCACAGGGATGTTAGGAAGTATTTTTTCAGCCACTGAGTAGTCAGGAAGTGGAATAGTTTGGGAAGCGATGTAGTGGAGGCAGGATCCATACATAGCTTTAAGCAGAGGTATGATAAAGCTCACGGTTCAGGGGGAGTGACCTAGTAGCGACCAGTGAAGAGGCGGGGCCAGGAGCTTGGACTCGACCCCTGCAACCTCAACTAGGTGAGTACAACTAGGTGAGTACGCACACACACCAAAACCTGTGGATCGACCCCTGCAACCACAACTAGGTGAGTACACACACAAACACAAACACACACACGGGTAAAAAATTTCGGACATTGAAACTAATAATGAGGAAATAGTATAAAAAATCGTCTTGTGAAAGGTGACACATCAGAGGTAACTAGATCAGATGGAATATTACCGAGAATTGTCAAAGAGAAAGCGGAAATATTGCGCGAGACACTCACACTCGCTTTAACAATTCATTACTGAGGCGTTGGGGGCCAGTCGACACGAAGATAACAAACGGAATATCAATATTCGTGTATGTGAATGATAGAATGAAGAATCAGATACGTGTGCAACATCTGGGTATCTTTATTGGTAGACTTTTGACTATCCATTGACTTTATCAGTATAATACGAGAACATAACGTGAAGACTTTAGAACTACGTACAAAAGATGAGGTAATCCGTCCCTCAGTCTTGGAGTTGTTGAAGATCATCGTAGTCTTGAAGACTACGATGCTCTCCAACAACTCTTCACCAACATTCTTCACATCATATCCTTGTATTGCATTAATAAAGCCACTGGAGGGCGAAACGTCTACAAATAAAGATACCCAGATGTTGTACACGTGACTGATTCTTCATGTTGTCGGTATTGTCTACCATTCACGTACAGGTCCCTTCGTAAACCAAATGACGGGAGTAATACATAACAGAACGATTATCAAGATAAGATAAGATAAGATAAGATAAGATAAGATTTCGTTCGGATTTTTAACCCCGGAGGGTTAGCCACCCAGGATAACCCAGGAAAGTCAGTTTGTCATCGAGGACTGTCTAACTTATTTCCATTGGGGTCCTTAATCTTGTCCCCCAGGATGCGACCCACACCAGTCGACTAACACCCAGGTACCTATTTGCTGCTAGGTGAACAGGACAATAGGTGTAAGGAAACGTGTCGGAATTTCCACCCGCCGGGAATCGAACCCGGGCCCTCCGTGTGTGAAGCGGGAGCTTTAGCCACCAGACCACCGGGCCACCTATAAGGAAACACATAACCCATAATAAAAACCAGATTTACTATAGAGGGTAAATATATTAGAGGAGAACGTGCGTGCGAAAACCCACAGACACGCTAAATTATTTCTACTCTCTTATTTCTTCTCCATTGTAATTTTTTTTGTTACATTTATAGTCACACGTTTGCTAGTGATTTATTACAGCATATGTTCCATTATTTTATTCTCTTCGTTATTTTACCATTGATATATAGGAAGGTTATTTTGAAATGTGTCATTACAATGATGGAATCCTTCAGTAGGACATGTGTATGAGCTGTGTATGTTGTCTGGTGGGGGGTGAAATAGTGTATTCTTACAGGAAATATACACCAAAGGGTGTATTTCTTTCGGTGTATTAATGCTGAGAGTTCGTCTTGTACCTCATTTTGGGGGATTAAAATATTCACCGAAAAATTAATTTAGAAAGACATAGTGGCAAACGCTAGAAAAAATTAGAAAACGTTTCGGTCCTGGGACCTTGATCAAGGTCCCAGGACTGAAACGTTTACTCACGTGTCTTTCTAAAGTTTTCTTGTCTGGTGGTGAAAAGTAACGAGCAGCCTTTATGCTAGTGTATTCGACAGGCTTGAAACCCTCATAACAATCCAATCAACCAGCCGTATTTCTGACATGTAGAAACGGTAACGTATCGCTCAGTGTAGAGCTTCGTCAAGTCATGAGTTGATTTAAAGTGTAGTAAGCAACACGCAGGAAGGGGAAGCAATATGCAGGAAGGGCAAGCAACATGCAGAAAGGGCAAGCAACATGCAGAAAGGGCAAGCAACATGCAGAAAGGGCAAGCAACATGCAGAAAGGGCAAGCAACATGCAGAAAGGGAAAGCAACATGCAGGAAGTGCAAGCAACATTTGAATAGGGCAATACACTAAGAAAGCACAATAACTTTTTTTATCTTCGAGTGGTAAATGTCTGTGTTCATTCTGAACACAGGCATTTATCCAATGGTCAGGAGCTGGTCGAGACTCAGCTCCTGACCTCTACCTCCTCGACTAATTTGATGGGCGTTACTGATTCATGGCCTCTTGAGCTTTTATCATATCCCTTCTTCAAGCTGTGTATTCACTATGTAGGATCCCCTCCCATCTGGGGCAACTGCATTTGCATTTTGTTTCTGTGAGAGCTATGATGTTGGGATGCTCCTTCCATACTCTGTCTTTCAGCTCAACTCTTTTAGTTAGTAAAAATTTGCCAAATTGAAAATTTGTTATTACGCTTTGGAATAATTCGTGTTATTGTGCACAATAATATGCAAAATAATATGCAAACTAACATGCAAGATAACACGCATGGTGGCATGAGACATAACATGCAGGATAACACGCGCGATAACTTAATAAAATTATGCATCCTGCAAGTTAGAGGAAATTGTTGCAACATACAACCAGGGAGAAAGTTTCCCAGGAAGAAAGTAAATAGAGGGAGGGAGGAAGAGAGGGAGGGTATGAGGGAGGGAGAGTGGGATGATGGAAGAGAAAGAGGGTGGGAGAGAGGGAGGGGGGAAGGGGGAGTGGGTGGAAGGGAAGGATTAAGTGAAAAGTACAGGAGGGAGAGGTGGAGGGTGGAAGTCACTGTACCGTAGCTGGAACAGTATTATGGCTGGAACAGTATTATGGCTGGAACAGTATTATGGCTGGAACAAATCACAAATAACCTAACCATACCACGGGCGGGATTTGAACCCGCGGTCAGAGAATCTCAAAACTCCAGACCGTCGCGTTAGCCACTGGACCAGCTGGTTTGTTTGCAATCGTGTCATTACGATTTCGTGAGTCACAAATAACCTCCCACACTTTATAAAAATAAAACCTTAGACGATGTTTCGGTTCTCCCTGGACCATCATCAAGTAACAACAACAGCCAAAACAAATACGAACTCACTAGTGCTGGACACGAATCCGGGTTCAAAACATTGCCTCCTCCTCCTCCTAGTCCTCCTCCTCCTCCTCCACTCTATCCCTCGTCAAGAATGACCCACACGGGTTCGATGCTTCAGGTACACGCAATATCCAGCATTATTGGTGGCCTCCGTGGCTCGGTTTGTACTAATGAAGGTTCATAAAGAGTGACAGGTATTGTTGTCTGTGTGTACAG